TATAAATTCTGATTTAGAATTTCTTCTTTTCTTTGTATTAAAACTAATAAGCACAATTAATGCGTTTATTAGGCTATATATATATATGACTATATTTACCAATAAAATAGTAGTACACTGTAAACTATTATTCTTCAAAGATGAAGGCCTAAATGAAACAAATATTACGTTTTTCGAGAAAATACCATTTCAGTTTTTTTTCTACGAAATTTCACATTTGTGTTACTTGCCGTTTCTTTGTAACAAATTTATCAGCAAATGACAATAGTTTCTACACAGCTTTTTCAGTGTAGGTTAATTCATTGATTTGAGATATTACACCAGCAGCAGTAATATGATTTCAATAGTTATTTGTAAAATCCTGATTACCTGAGTGTGGATGATTTTATGGCGGCACAGAGTGCTCGCTTGTCTGAATCCCTTGCCGCACACTTTGCAGACGAACGGTCTGGCGCCCGTGTGAACCGGCATGTGACGCGTTAAATTATAGTGCGCGTTGAACACCTGCAAATTGCAAATCGCGTTATATAAAGTGCAGGATGCAATCTGTGCTTAAACAGAAGATCGATCTCGCTCGTCTCACCTTGCCACAAACTTCACAGGTGAACACCTTTGGTTTGGTTTGAGGAGAGCCGCTGTTTAATTTGGCCGCGGAGTTCTTGAACAGCTTCTCCGACAAGATGTGCGCGCTCTCCTTCATGTAATGGTGCAGGTGAGAGTGAGAAAGCTCCTTAAAAGACGCGCCGGGAGGAGCACACCTGTCCGGTTTGCTCTTCTCCGAGGAGAACAGGCTCTTCTGGCGCGCGTGCAGCGGCGCGTTGAGGAGGTACGACGCCATGGGGTGCAGGTTCACCAAACCCGCGTGAGGCGCACACGCGCTTTCCCCGCAGTTCAGGTAACAGACGGCGGCGCCCATGGCGTGGAACGACGCCTGGTTGACGACGCGCGGCCGGAAGAGTTTGTACTGTCCTATGGCCGATGGCGTCGCGTCTGGCTGCTCGTTCTTGTAATTCAAGCCGATGCTCAGCAGCTCGCTCGCGTTGTAGGAAAACGCGTCAGGGTGGTCTAATCCATTGACGTGAAGTTTATGAGGCGGCTCGCAGGCGAGCGGCATGAGGGGGATCATGCAGTGCAGCGGCGCGGGAGACTGCTTGGGCTCCGCTTTCCCCACGGGAGCGTGGAGCAAGTTGGGGAACGGTATCGACTTTGGCTCGGGCGTCCTGGCCATAATCCTTTCGATCGAAAAAGCGAGGGGTTTGGAGCTCGCCATCATGCTTGCTCCCGTCGAAGCCGAAGGGGCGCCGAATATTCCCGCTGAGTGGTACAGCGCGCCGTCCATGACTTGAGCGCAGCACCTGTACCTGCGTCCTCCTTTTGTAGATAAGTTTGATTCCTCTCAGTGACCCGCAAGAAAAGACATCATCAAGCGCCAAGGCCCCCTGGCTGCTCCGCTGCTTGTCAATTGCGAACAATCAGCACTTATGGGCGCCCCGGATTGCTCAATAAAGAGTGTTTTGTCAATAGCGCAACTCAGGGCTCACCACGCGCGCACGTCAAAGACGCGTAAAGCAGCCCAGATGCTCGATTTAGTTATATCAATCACTACAGTGGCTTCTCTCTCTCTCTCTCTCTCTCTCTCTCTCTCTGCACTTGTCCTACACACTGCGGTGGGTGACTAACTCAAGAAGGTGCTCTTTATTAGCACTGTAAAGCGCTGGGCGAATCTCCGGTCCCCTCGCGCCTCGCTGTGACATCATTGCACCTCACTCGCGCATGCATCATGTTTGTCAACATTTGACATGAAAACTCCTGAATTACCTGATTTGAAACCGCATTATCACGCGGGGTTTTTTTTGGGGGGGGGGGGGGGGGGGGGTAAAAAGCGAACACAAAATAAGACTAAACTCTGTATGGACATCATGGACGCGATATTTGGATTTAGAAGTTTTGTTTAAACGGTTGCAACTGTTTTTTCGATTTAAGTATCTCGTATGAATTTTGCATGAATTGTACTGTACGTTTCTGCCATATGGACATCAACTTGACATAAGCCACCACTGATAAGCTACAACCAGGCCTAAATATAGCCTAATGTAGACACTTTAAAATAGAAACATACATTTTCTGTGAAGCTGATTTGCAACGATTTGTAAAGTGAAAATCGCTATACAAATAAACTTGAATTGAATTGAATATCTATCTGCTACAGATTTGTTTATAAATCTACTTTGCCCTAAACTGCAGTTACAAACTATAAAACTAGGCTAAAAAACATAAACGTTTTGTGCACGAATATATAATAAAATGTGCTTGGTAAACACGTTCATTCAAAATAGAAAATATATAGGATATTTTTCAATTCGAAACAGCAAATAAAAAATCGAAACAAATGCATGTAACTCTAAAACCACAACCGTATTAAAGTAAACTAGCCTAAACAGTAAACTACGTATGTTTTAAAAGACATATTGTCCTGTTAATTTCTTTTTTTATACTAAGTCTCATAATGTCACCTCAGGGGGCTGTTGGTCACATATAATCGTAATCGTACCCCTGTAGTTAATTTTAATTGGTTAAACTGTTGGTGTTGCAGCTCACCCCGTGTTACACTTCCCAGTCTCCATAGTGTTTAAGCGGTGGATTCCAGCAGCACCTGATATCTGATTTATAGCCTTCAATAAATTCACAGATTGTTCCTCTATTATATCTACATACAATTTAATGTGAAATATAATCAAATAATTATTTGTTATGCTTTCGCGTCTCATTAGTGATGCTTCACGCGACCATTCCACGGTTTTCCATCACGCGCCACCTCACGCGCACACAGATAAAACGATCATGAAAAGCGATTTTTCGCATCAGACGACCTTCGTTTCCAAACGCAAAACTCGTGAGGACATTCATCTGGGAATTGTGCGCCAAACGAGAGGTATTAACAGCAAAACGCCTCCGAGGAGCTGAGCTCATGCCATGAGAGAGAGAGAGTCAGTTCCGCGAGCAAAAGCAGAAATGAAAAGTGCAGCTCGGTGTGAAACACAACTGACACTGATTCGATGCGAAGACATTTTTTTCGTGAAGGATTATTCTGTTTAAAAGGTAACATATATGGAACATGAGCGCGTCGATGACATATCGTGGCTTTAAAATAGCCTATGTGTAGGTTTATTAGCCTACTTATTCTCAAATATACATACTTTGTAATAGCCTATCGTTTTTTAAAAATGTATTTAATGGCTATTGACGCTCAGCAGTAAGATAAATGCGCTAAAATGATAACGTTTGTGTTTTCAGGGCGACTTTAGAACATTGCTAATTTGGACTGCTGTTCAATTGGAAGCAGATGGGTGTCGAATAACCTGCAATTTGGAGCTTTTTCTGTTGTCATATGCTGCTCCTCAGATTTCTTCAGCTGGGCGAAGGCAAAACGGGGGAAAAATCCTCTGTAGTGATATCACGGCACAAATGCATCGTATTATTTGTTTCGTTTTGCTGAATGTTTGTATTTCAAGAATGTCATGTTTTATTCGGCGCCCGTTTTCAATATGAAATACGCCCAGTCTAGCGGTAATCTGAATATGAGAAATATATATATATATATATCAGGTTTAGCTGATTTTGAGAGTGTTTCATCTTTATTTACAGTCCAAATAATAGTTATCAAATATGATAGTCAAATAATGATGACATGCATACATTTTTCATAGTCTATTTGCGCTGCATTTTAGTGAAAAGTGCATTTCAGTAAGAAATATAATGATATGATTCGATGACAGAAATTGCCCCACAGTCGCGATTTATTTCTGACACTTGAAGCCTTGACATTTTTTAACCTCATATTTAGGTGAAAAAAATAATAATAGTAGACTATCTCTTCAAGGTCTCTAGACTAGAACGCTGAATCGAAAATATCACAGTAAACCCCCAAAATAGACGACGTTTAAAGCTGAAATCATTTGCAGTTTAAATAAAACGTCGTCTTGTATAGACTATCAGAGTTTAACAGCAAATGGTACATTTACATTAGTTGAGTGTCATGTTTCAAGGGTAACATTCTATTTTTATATTTTATTCGACCTTTAGCAAAATTAGAATGGAAAAATAATTTTAACTCCTACTATTATTGTGACCCAAGTCTTATTTAGTGTAGACGTCTAGAAATAATGGAGTTAACGCCGTTGTATGGTAAGCTATTCTAGTGTTCCTATGAATAGAATTCCATTTCTTTATTTTTTAACGGTTTGTTTAATATGATGCACAATAAAGATTAAGGCCATTTAAAGTGATGCTGAAAAGAACATACACTCTGAATGGGTTTGATACCGAGACCAGCAAATGGCATAATTTTTAATAGTGGCTGAAACGAAATCTCAATAAAACAAAAATGTTGAATAGGTAGGATCATCACATGCAAGCATTAATAAGTCTTTTAACAGTGTTTTAAATAAACAAACTAAAATTGCATTTGAAGTTTTTGTTTCCACTTACCTAAAATGTTATTAATTATAAACTAATCTGGCGTGTGATAAATATTTTAAAACGTATAAAAATGTAAATATAAAAATTATACAAATCTCTTTTAATTCTCTTTAAAAGCATACTGTTTTTTAAGACTTTTTAAATGTTTCATTTATAGGCTATACTCGGTGTTCATGTGTGTCATACAATTTCATGCAAAACAAAAAAAAAAAGACCAGTGAAATGACATTAAAAACACTTTAATTGTAACACTTAAAGACACCTGGGCAATCTCAGGTGCACAAAGACAATAGAAATATACAGCTCTTGTTAAAATCCAGTGACATTTTCTTTCATCTGAAACATAGTTGGACATTGACAGCTTACTATACATGACACACTTCTACAGAAGAATCTGAATGTGAATTCATAGCTATTGAGTGGAACAATGTCACGACTTCATCGAATAAACAGTGAACAACTAGCATTTCATCCACCATATCTGGAGCTTTGGCCTGAGGATCCGAAGCTGAAGCAAAAAAATTAAAAAACAGCACATAAGCAGACGCTACTTCCCTCATGCTCTGTATGTCTAGTTTTCACTCTGGTACACCGTGTCTATGATACACTTACAAATCATCGGCTGGTTCTTTGTGGGTAAATTTGTGTCTACAAGTGCTTCCCGAGCTTGCCTTGTGATGAGCCACCATATCACTGCACATCAAATACAGAACGACAGAGACACTTTAGCTGTCTGTAAGTGGCCAATGAGAGTTTTATACAAGCATGGTGACATCGGCTTAGACAAGAGGGCAGTGTAGCACTGGCTAGGGAGTATGAAGCGTGAGCTCCAATCAGGAGAGCTGGAATCCGACCTCTTCGTATCAAGTTTGTGACCGTCCAGTAGGTGAGACGTTAACCCTCCTCTTCATCGCTGTCCCTCATGGTAATGCCCTGCAGACCGTCCGTGGCCGACACGGCCGCCGTGGCTTCCTCAATAGTGAGCCGGTTGTAAACGGTCTCGTAGCTCTTGTTGTTCAACGTGCCGTCCAACACGCCCTGCAGCCTGAAGTCACGGTACGACTTCTGCATGACAAAAATAAAAAGCCAAAACAAGCACGGAGAACAATGAAATAGTTGAAGGACACGTCGATTTTACTTTTTGACTTCTCGTACATCAGGATTCGCCTGAAACGGCACTCGTCAGCTAATTAATCTCTCATTCTCATGGTAATGGAATTCGTTGTGCAGCCAAGCTGAACTTGACACTCTTGTCATGGTCAATTAGCATCAACAGAGTTTCGAAACAAAAACTTCTTCACGCTGTATTCTTTTTTTTACCTTGACAATCTTGATGAGTGTTTTGAGTTGGTAAACATGCAGCTGCTGGTCAAGTCTGTCCGTCAGCCAGGCACACACCGCCTTCATCAAAGAGTTGTACCATTGCTGTGCATGTGAGAAAGAGAGAGACAAACCTTGAAGATTACATAAATGTTATGCAAAAAAACCCTCAGTACTTTAAGCAAATGAAAAGATGTGACAGCAGCTTCTGGTTAATGTTAAAAGTTCCCTTTATGTGTGTTTTTCTCCTTCGATTATGCCTTGACAATTTCACATTCGCACTCTGAATTAGGCGGTCCTCGAAAATAAACTTATTACACCTCAAGCTTCACATAAAACCATTTTAAACCAAAGAACCACCAAGAAAACATCGACTACCTATTCAACGTATTAAATATTCAATACGAGTCATTACTTCATTTCTCATTACTGAACTTACAAGCAAGTATCGTCCCATGCCCCAAGTATCATTTGAGGTCGCGTTTGCACATAATAACAATCTTAAAGATACCGAACTTACTAATTACAGGGCTAACACTTGAATCTGCGAATAAAGGGGTCCCCTTGCACTTCAAACACCTTCAGTTCACATATTACTTCACGCGAGGACGCCTTATATAATTACCGGTCTTTTCTATGAAAGAAGCCGGTTCTTTAATCAGCAGCAATCAGACTGCGAATCGGTTTTGCGCGAGAACCTCTGACACCAGCTTGTGTTTGCAATCAGCCCGGTAATTTTATTTCGGAAATCGTTAGCTCACGTCAACAAAAGACTGAGATTGTCCAGGCGCTTAGAATATGATTTCATGCACAAGCAAGACCGAAACGTGTAAGACCACAGCATCGTGTTTACTGGCGAAATACATCACTTAGGACCGTTTTCATTGAGCTTCCCATGCAATTTAACATCAAGCTCACATATTTACAACGGGAGCGTAAATGAATCCAAACAGCACACCAATAATCAGCAAAGTCCGCTCCTGCCATTAACAAAAACCAGGCAAAACGGAAAGATGAGATGCCACTTAATTGAAGCACTTAGGCTGGTTGGGAAACAGATGACTGTGCCCTAATTGTTGGAGGTGAAAGAATGGCAACGCATTTCTTCATATCAGACGAATCTCCGTCGGTAATCACACGCTTAAGTGTCCACTTCTCTGGGTTCATTAGGGAGGCAGGGGAGGGCAGCCTCCACACCTGTGACCAGGCTGAGGGCCGCGGCCTCTCGCCGTGCAAACCTCATCGCTCCGCTAATCACAGTGATTTAGCGCCCCGGACAAACAGACCGCAGCCTGCAAGGGCATGCGGCGACTGATTTTCTTATTTCCTTGAGCGCCTTCGCAACACAGCGCTGAATGGTACAGCAGCTCGTCCTTAAGAAGAAATACTCAAAAACATTCATGCCCAAACTTTTAGCCGTCCAGAGATGCAAATTAGATAGAATGTTTTGTAACCGACAGATTCGTAAGACTTGAGGCTGCTTGATGAGGAAGTTTCTGTGGTGACACACGGCGACCCTTCTCTCAGCTCGCTCTCGGTGCATGACTGTGAGCGTGTGACACACATTAGGGGCTGCTGGTGTGCAGGGCACCTCTATCCCGCCTGCCTGTCTCCATCGGCGGCCTCTGCAAAGGTCTAATAAATCAAGAGAAGACATCAAACACTGCTTCTCTCCAATCTGGCTCGGAATAGAACGTTTTCGAAGGCAATCTGCTCAGGATTTATAGGGGCGGGAGGGTTGTGTACATCCTCTCGAGTGTTTGTGCCGTTCTATAGATCTGCTGTCTCTGAAAGCAGCTCGGAAGGATGAGCAGTGTGTTCTAAACAAAATTAAGGAGCGAGATGTACACATTTGTGCCTTCTAGCTCTCTCTCTCTCGATGTTGTTTGAGAGTAAACAGGTCAACAGGAGCCCTGGGTGAGTGCTCAGGCACTGGAAGTGGTCACAGTGGGCTGATGAGTGCTCTTGGTGAGGCCTCATTGCCTCTTCCTACAAAAACTTTCCCCACCCCTTCTCACCTCCCTCGACCTCGGCTTTACAATACCCACAGCTGAGGAAATGTGGTGGGAACACGGTTGGAAAAGAACCGAGACAGAATAGAATGAGACGTTGGATGTTCGTTCATTCACATGCATTGGCACAAATGACACTTGCTTGAAGTAATTCCGCTGGCTTTGCATCGATCTGTAGACTTATTATGAAACATTTCTTTAGCTATAGTGTCTGAAAGCAGTGGAGTGAAACTGAATCTCATTTATAGTGTGTTCATTGACTGGTAGGAACTTACGTCAAAGATTTTCTCTGCGTACATCTCGTCGTTCACACGGTCGCGCAGAATATCCTGGTTCTGTCGTACAAAGGTGATGTAGGTGTCTGCTAGATCCATACCAGGTTTCTGTTGAGAGTGACAGATTCAAAGTCAATTTGGTCATAAGATTTATTCATCTTGAGTCTTCGTTCATTTTCTTATGCAAAGCAGTGCTGTCAAATTTATTAATCATGATCAATCGCATCCAAAATAAAAGTTTGTTTTTACATAACATATGCACGTACTGTGTATATTTATATGTATATATAATTACACACACACGTATGTATATATATTGAAGAAATATTTACATGTATACATATATATTCATATGTATATATGATTTATATTACATATAAATATATATTACATATATTTCTTAAATGTATACATGTATTTGTGTATATTAATATTTACATATAAATTTACACAGTACACACATTATGTAAACAAGCTTATTTTGGATGCAATTAATCATGATTATTCGCGATTAATCGATTTGACAGAACTAATGCTAATCAAACATGCTGATGATTAATACAGAGTCATTCAAACTATAAAGGTGGACTAAGTAAAATATTTTGCACCTAAAGAAATTTACAATATTTTTGACAAAACATCAGTCAGATCAGTGGCCGGGTAAAAGCTGTTTAATTCTACATAAGGGCGGGTCCACCTCATGGTGGCGGCCATTTTGAGATCACATGACCAGTATATTCTAGTACTTAATTTCTTATTGGACCAAAAACTTCAGCATATGCTCATAATATTGATTTTGTTTTGTCCGTGTTTCTCGGTGCATGACTGTGAGCGTGTGACACACATTAGGGGCTGCTGGTGTGCAGGGCACCTCTATCCCGCCTGCCTGTCTCCATCGGCGGCCTCTGCAAAGGTCTAATAAATCAAGAGAAGACATCAAACACTGCTTCTCTCCAATCTGGCTCGGAATAGAACGTTTTCGAAGGCAATCTGCTCAGGATTTATAGGGGCGGGAGGGTTGTGTACATCCTCTCGAGTGTTTGTGCCGTTCTATAGATCTGCTGTCTCTGAAAGCAGCTCGGAAGGATGAGCAGTGTGTTCTAAACAAAATTAAGGAGCGAGATGTACACATTTGTGCCTTCTAGCTCTCTCTCTCTCGATGTTGTTTGAGAGTAAACAGGTCAACAGGAGCCCTGGGTGAGTGCTCAGGCACTGGAAGTGGTCACAGTGGGCTGATGAGTGCTCTTGGTGAGGCCTCATTGCCTCTTCCTACAAAAACTTTCCCCACCCCTTCTCACCTCCCTCGACCTCGGCTTTACAATACCCACAGCTGAGGAAATGTGGTGGGAACACGGTTGGAAAAGAACCGAGACAGAATAGAATGAGACGTTGGATGTTCGTTCATTCACATGCATTGGCACAAATGACACTTGCTTGAAGTAATTCCGCTGGCTTTGCATCGATCTGTAGACTTATTATGAAACATTTCTTTAGCTATAGTGTCTGAAAGCAGTGGAGTGAAACTGAATCTCATTTATAGTGTGTTCATTGACTGGTAGGAACTTACGTCAAAGATTTTCTCTGCGTACATCTCGTCGTTCACACGGTCGCGCAGAATATCCTGGTTCTGTCGTACAAAGGTGATGTAGGTGTCTGCTAGATCCATACCAGGTTTCTGTTGAGAGTGACAGATTCAAAGTCAATTTGGTCATAAGATTTATTCATCTTGAGTCTTCGTTCATTTTCTTATGCAAAGCAGTGCTGTCAAATTTATTAATCATGATCAATCGCATCCAAAATAAAAGTTTGTTTTTACATAACATATGCACGTACTGTGTATATTTATATGTATATATAATTACACACACACGTATGTATATATATTGAAGAAATATTTACATGTATACATATATATTCATATGTATATATGATTTATATTACATATAAATATATATTACATATATTTCTTAAATGTATACATGTATTTGTGTATATTAATATTTACATATAAATTTACACAGTACACACATTATGTAAACAAGCTTATTTTGGATGCAATTAATCATGATTATTCGCGATTAATCGATTTGACAGAACTAATGCTAATCAAACATGCTGATGATTAATACAGAGTCATTCAAACTATAAAGGTGGACTAAGTAAAATATTTTGCACCTAAAGAAATTTACAATATTTTTGACAAAACATCAGTCAGATCAGTGGCCGGGTAAAAGCTGTTTAATTCTACATAAGGGCGGGTCCACCTCATGGTGGCGGCCATTTTGAGATCACATGACCAGTATATTCTAGTACTTAATTTCTTATTGGACCAAAAACTTCAGCATATGCTCATAATATTGATTTTGTTTTGTCCGTGTTTCACGCCGTCTCGAATCCTGCTCGTGGAAAGCGCAGCTCGGTACGCTTTCAACTTGTTCTTTTAGTCTCGAGCAAGACTGTACATTCACATTACACGATTTGATAGATTTTTACGTAGAAAGGGCGACAGCGCACCACATTAAAAGAAATGATAATTTCATGTTTTCATAACTGCTGGCCAAATTCAAAAACGAAACAAAAATTAAAACATCTTTGAGAGCAAGGGGGTCCCCTGGTGTTTCAGGGGCCCTACGCAGCTTGTGTATTTTGCGTATAGGGAGGATTGGCTCTGGATGCTGCATTCATGACAATTGTGTTAGTATGAAATTTGCGCAGTTGTATCAGACAGTTGCATCAAATAAACTAAAAAGACTTAGTGCACCTTTAATTCAAACATTTTTTTGCAAGCCAAGTTAAAACACGAATACCAAAACACTGACAGCCGCCATCACTATCTCTGCCTGCTGAAGGATGTTCGAGAAAATGCTTTCAAAAATAAACACATGTAAACTTACTTAAAAAAACCCCAAAAAAAACAAGTACCAAAAAGCACCTGCGACACTTATACCCTGTTAAAAGCAATCCTTTTACCTGTGAAAAAACATTTCTATTCACACTGGGGCTGTTAAAACAGGGAAAAAATGTCGTAATAGTGCTGTAATTGCTGTGACACGTTTCCCACCCATGACTCAAGGGGTGATGTAGCTTGAGGGCTTGAATGCTGGAAAACCCCCTTTTTATTAGAGAGCAAAGAGACACCCGAACATCAACCTCCAGTTCTTGTCAGGCCTCTCTTCCTGTGAGTTTGTGTGTTGGTCATATGACAGAATGAAAGATGTGACAGTACCAGTGTACTGAAGCTTTGGTTTTCCAAACAACAACCTACTCATAATTTAACAGGCATCTATCTAAAAATAGCTTTTCCCCCTAAAAATGCATCATAGTTTCCACTAAAATACTGTGTTAAGCAGCATAAATGTTTTTAACACTGATAATATAAGTTTCTTAAGCAGCAAATCAATATATTAGAATGATTTCTAAAGGATCATGTGACACTGAAGACTGGAGTAATGAGGCTGAAAATTCAGCATTGCATCACAGGAATAAATTACATTCTAAAATATATTAAAATAGAAAATAGTTATTTGAAATTGTAATAATATTTCACAATATTACTGTTTTTTTAATGCAGCCTTGCTGAATATAAGAGACTTCTTTCAAACACCTTAAAAAATCTTACTGGCCTCAAACTTTTGATTGGCAATGAATATATCGTTTGATATATACCAGATTCATCTCTTATGCAAACTGTCACGCTACTGAAACAAGTTATGTAGAAGTGTCACTAATTATAGTTAGCGGTTCCCTAATACTGGACCAGCAACACTCACTGGACGGTACAGTATAACCTCCTGACCGCATCCACAGTCGGCCGATATCCAGACAAACAGCAGCTGATCAAATACGACTGGGATCTCAAGAGGACTTCATATCGTGTTGAGTGAGAGGTCTTCACAGATATATATTATATTGTCAAGAAAGGAACAAAACTGCCACTACCTGTGCAGAACCAATAATATCTCTGACTTATCATGGCAGTCACCTGTGACCCCATAAAAGGCACTTGGGTGGAATCAAGACGGGGTCTTTTTAACCCAACACCCTTCCTTCGATCTTCTCTGACAGGACGACAAAGCCCGTGATGGACCGATAAGCACACCAAAACCCGATCTTCTCGTACAAATTCCAATCGGAGGACCGAGGGACAGGCTCGATCCATCAGGCCAGACAATGCCATGACGGTTGGGTGTGGGCCGTGTGTGAATGAATAAATGGAGAGGTGTGGGACGGTGCGATTAAGGCCAGGTTAATGACTGGTTAAGCTGAGCGGATAAATGGCGTGGATGGGAAACAGAGGAGAAAGGGAAGGGGAGACGAAATACACAGTAATTACACAGAGCTGCTAACCTGGCTTCCTGCCACTGCCTCATTCACTGTCCAGGTGCAGATGTGGGTGCGTGTGTGTGTGTGTGGTGTCGAAGCAGAGAGCGTGTGAAGTGTGTTTGTGCAAGTTTTGAGTAAATACTTTGTTGTGGTAGCGCTAGTGCAGATTCGAGCCGTGGGTGTGAATGTGCGAACGAGTGTGTTAACAGAGCGCTATCGGGAGGGCGTCTCGCCAGAAAGCCCCGGCGCTTGAATGGCAGCCTTCACAAAGGAGCAGAGGAGCTTAACCTTTCGTGACAAGAGCCCAGAAATGTTCAGTGCCAAAGGCCAGATCACAGCCATGCTCTTCCCTCCCTCTCCGTCTTCAGCTGGTGCTGTGAAAGGGGCTTACATGGAGCAGCGTTCCTTCTGCACAAAAGCGCAAGGTGGAGGTGATGTTATAATTTGAGGGGGAGATGGGGTGTTCGCCTGCTACACACCTCGGGGAGCCAATGCCAAGAGCTCGGATGGAGCGATGGGGTGGGGATTTGTAGGGATTGACTGACTTTTCTGTTCTTAATCTTGTCGGTTTGCTTTTTACAGTGGCCCCAAAAAGGATTTGGGTGCTCAAGTTGCACCTAAAAACCAATAAGTACAAAATATAACACCGAGAATCGTTTATCTGAAAGCGTAGTTTACGCAAAATATTTCACATAAAGACATTGTTTAAAACAAACAAACAAAACTAAAAATTACTTAAAAATTAAGATGAAATAGTTCATACACTTAAGTCACACATAAATACGTCTGAATGTTATCGCATTATAGAAAATATTTAAACAGTGTAATATCTTTAAAGAAACATAGCACAAGCACACTTTTGAAGTAAAGTAGTTTTTTAAGTTGAAAAACAAACTAACTTTAAAAACCAGACCAGATGTATTTAGACACTTACTTAAGACACCTGTAAATACGTATGAACGTTTTTGCATTAGATCAAATGTCAAATTAAGTGCATTTTTAAAAAAGAAATATAGTGAAAATATAGCACTTGTAAAGTAAATTTTTACGTTTTTAAGTATTTTTTAAAAGATGCAAATGATAAAACAGGCAAACTGTTCAAAATCAAGACAAAATGAATTTAGACACTTAAGTCACACATACAGTAAATATGTATGAATATTATTGCATTAGATAAAACAGAAAATCAAGTGTAATATTTTTCAAGAAATATAGCTTATAAAGTTTTTTAAGTTGCAAATGATAAAACAAAAGAAACTGTTCAAAATCATAAACAAACATTTAGACACGTAAGTCACACTTAAATAATGTATGAATGAATGTTATTGCATTAGATAAAATACCAAAACAAGTATAATAATTTAGATTGATTTTAAAATATATATATATTTTAAATGATAAAACAGCAGATAAACTGTTCAAAATGAAGTCAAAAACTATTTGAACACTTTTTGGTGGTCAAGTATTAGTGGATCATGTCGGTAGTTAATGTGATGAACTCCCCCTGTGGTTACTCCGCAGAACACCTGTGTGAACTTGAGGCAAACTGACTACATATACAGCCACTAAAATCACTCTTTGATTAAACTCATGCCCACATGGACTCTGCATTCACACAATGCCACAGAAAAACTGTTAAGAACAGGTGTTCCAATTCTGTAGAAATCCTAACATTCCCGGCCCTTGTGTGTTTGTATATGAAATATTTTTGTTAATTTGATAATGCTTTCATCTGCCAAAAAAGTGTAGTTCTCTCAGCCCTGTTGAACATTTAACAATGTTTAAATTTCATTCCACAGATTCCCCCCTAAAATCAGCACAGAAAAATGTCTGCAAATTTAAATCTGGTTAACAGAGACAAAAAGAGCTAGTTTTGAGAAAAGGTTTCTTATACATGTATTTTTAGATTTTTGCTTTATCATCTAATGAAATGACATTTAGACATTTTTAAGTGTGACATAAGTGTTCAAATACTTTTTAGAGCCACTGTATATCACTATCTACTATAATTAGGTGTCAGTATTTTGGAAAGATATTAATACTTTCATTCAACAAGGATGCATTAAATTGCACAAAAGTGACAAAGACATTTATATTTTTACAAAAAAATTATATTTCAAATTAATGCTGTACTTCTGAAAATTCTATTCAAAGAATTCAGAAAAAATGGCCAATCTATCATTTATACGCATGATAGATTGCTTTTAAAAATCTTGAAAGATTTGAAATTTAGGAACACTGGCATACTCTATGTATGAACACAAACTCTAGTCTGATATTAGTCACAGAACTAACTGGAATGAGTTGTTGTTCATGTTTTTATTCCGAAAGCCCTTCTGTAATACTGTGGTCTCGGACCAGGAGGTCATGTGACTACTCAGTCTTTCCCTCACCCCGTGTTAGTTTCTTTCTGCTTGCTCACTGTCTGCGCTCTGAACAGTCCTGGTTCCTGGTGATTCATTAGCATCTTTTTCTGCTTGCGGCGGCCCATTGTCAACACTGTGGCAGATCGTGAGACTGATTTTAAGCCAATCGGGTTGCTAATTAGTCTTGCTCAGCCAGCTCTGATAGACGCTCCAATCCTGCTTTCATTTGGCCATGAACCGCAAATGATAAAAAAAACATATAATTGTGTTAAGTAATGATGAAATAATACACATTAAGCCTTTATAAATATTAAAAACAAAGCAAGATGGAAACGCTTGGCAAAGCTGAATAGAGAATCTGTTTCCCTAAGTAAATAATAGGCCTAAAACACACACACACAAATGCAAAGCAGCATGCAAAAAAGATCCACACAGGGCATGCCGGCATCATGCGCATTTATACGTCCAAAATGACACTTACTGGGACGTCCACATATTTGGCCGCTGCTTTTACCTTTAAAAAAAAATAAGAAGTACCTGCTGAATATCTTTGGCTTATTGAACGTTCAGTACGAAATGAGATCCCGGAAAGGGGTGTGTGGGTGGGATGAACGTGAAAATACTCACCGTGAAAGACAAGATGGAGGAGAAGAATGTTCCCTCGTCATATCGTGAGAGTTTGGACAACACCCCATCCAGAACAGCTGCAAACTGTGAAAGCAAAGAAGCATGTTTGCGTGACAGGCGCATTCACCTTTCGCACAAGCAACAATTAACAATTTTGGACAAAGTAACATTAACCGATACAACGGATATAATGTTTCCCGAAACACTGGCACGTTTCGAGTCGGCTCGCCGTGAAGGCCAGCTGAAAAGAATGGGCAAAAGCCAAATCTCAATGTTGTGAAATGTGGCGGCTCAAAAGAGGCCGAGACGATGGCTGTTGGGAGTACCTTTGAGACCAAGGAGGAGATCATCTCCTTAAAGGCCTCATCGATCAGGACATCGATTTTTGAGTGGTACTGCTGCTGTAGGACAAGAAGAGGAGGAGAAACATCAACAAATACAATAGGTGCGATGGGAAAGGCACGGATCGCGAGGCATCCTAAAAGAACAACAAGCTCACAAAGACATATTTCAGCAGAGGGAAAAATCCTCCCCGTGCGATAGGGCTGAGTTAAGCAGCTATTAGGCCCATTATGCCCGTGAATGGCATTCCTGCTCTCGTTTAGGGCAAAGGAATTTGAAGGATACTTTTTGTGCGGGCCACAATTAGGGCAGCCTTGTGTTTTTCTAAAGAACTCATCCAGCTGCGGCGAGCAAAGGCTCACACTACATTCAATTAATCCGCCATTTCATGTCTGATAAGTCTTATTCACCTATTTTTTTTGTGGGGGAAAAAAGCGAGAGGGAGAGGAGGAAGGAGAAAGCGAGGGCTTGGGGTGGGTGAGAGTGAGAGAGAGAGAGAGAGAGAGAGCGCATCCATTTGGCCGCGCTGAATAGATGCCTTTGCTGCATGCGCTGCAAGTAGGAGTTCATCTCCGCCAACAATGGCTATTCATGGCGAATCTAAAGGACACCCAAATTAAAAATTTCAATCAACAATGCGTGCAGATCGGTGACAAATTGAGGGTGCTAAGAGGTCACTGTCAGCAGCCCTAATTTTCTTTTCACCCTTTTTTTTCCTGTGCGCAAATTGGCAGTTTTTTCATAAATGGCATTATAGGAGAATCTTGAGGACTTTTTACCTCAATTAACACTTCCATGTTTGCTTTTTATACGGCTAAACGGCGAGGGCTCTTTTTTTTGCATTAGCGCCGATTAAATAGGGAGGTCTTTGCCGTGTGTGTGAAAACCAAAAGAACAATAATTTCTTTTGAAAACATTTATCTGGTAGCCATCCACTTCACAGTCACTTCAGCGAGATGGCGGCATATAAAGCGTAACCTTGTATTTCCAGATGAAGCGGCACGCAAACTCGGGAAAAATGATCTTTTCTTTGTTTTTAAATCAAGTCTTTCGCAAACACGCCGACACGCACTGACGGCCACTAAATTCAATCCTGCGTGAAGGAAAATCAGTTGAGCGTTGAGAAATACCTTTTAACCCAATACTAAGAAGTAAGTGGCGGTTTTCTCGCAGCCGTGCAACTATCTTGCCGCACAAGGCCACATACTTTGTGTCACTGTTGGAGAAAATTCATATTTTTTTTCGTGAAGTTAGCACCTGTGTTTTTGTTAGGACTGGAAAAGTGTAGTATCGACTAAGACGGCACAATTCAGAAGAGAATTTTTCAAATAGTTATGTTGGTTCCCAACATTCTTCAAATTAACTTCTTTTGTGTTGCACAGAAGAAAGAAAGTCATACAATTTTGGAACGACAAGAGTAAATGATGACAGAATTTTCATTTTAAGGTGAACTATCCCTTTAAGAGTTAATTGCACACAATGTATTCTTTCTCTGCTCACACGTACAGGAGACGGTAGAGGGGATACTTACCCACTGCTGCTCAACCTTGGGTTCATGCAATAACGTGCAGGACATGCAGGGATGAGTCAAAGAAAGACAACAAACAAAAAACATATTTGAATGAAAACGAATCTCAGAGCTGGTTAACGGACAGCCAACAGATAAATAAAACTCATCTTAAGTATAATTTTGATCATTAATTAGCTAACATTAAACTAGGTAATAAACAAACACCACACAAAATCTAACAAACATGCTCATTTCTAAGGTAAGAATATGAAATGAGATTTACAGTCATTTATAAAGAAAAAATACAAGCAAACTGTCACTTTAAAGTCTGAATCACTAATTCTGGATACAAAACGAAAATAGAAACCGTGTACTCAAATGTTAAGTATAAGGTACACAAATGTAAACTTTATTCAGCATAAAAATGATTTGTAGCCTGGATGGTGGGATGGATGGATGGATGGATAGATAGATAGATAGATACAAACACATTTAACACCATCTAAACCACATTCTCAATTTGAAAATGCGGTTTGAAATCAGATTAAAATCAGATTTTCTGCAATATGTCTCAGTTTGAACGGCCAATTTGGATTTAATTTTGTTTTCTTCATTGTTCATTACGTGGTGCATGTAAAATAATATAAAATGTCCAATATCTATAACTACGACATTTAATTTGGATTTAAAAACCAATTTGGATTTGTCTCTAGTGTGAACACAGCTTAAGTGAATCCAAACTGTAATTTTGTTTTCTTCATTGTTCATTACGTGATGCATGCACCATGTCATGTCATATAAAATATGCAATATCTATAACTGTGTCTGAATACTCTAATTTTTACCTCATAATGAACTGTGACATTTCATTTGGATTTAAAAACCAATTTGGATTTGTCTCTAGTGTGAACACAGTTAAGTGATTCCAAACTCTACTCTGAATCATAATAATCCAATTTAAAGCTTTCAAGGACAATCTGAACATCTTTTGCTCTCCAGTCAGAAGCTGAGAGAACAATGTTTTGTTCATTTTGTTCATTTCACTTCAGTTATGACCGAATGGCTACCTTTAAGCAGTTTCTGCACATTAAGTTGGGCTAAATTATTTTTTTTTAATGAAAGAAACTACTCTTTAATGAAATTCTATGTGAAATGTTCACACAAAAACAGGAAATTAGATATCTAGACTAAGTGGAATCGTGGTTGTCATGAAAATGAGGAGCCAGTATAATGATTTGGCTTGTTTGAAATTAAAATGGCAGCTCTGGGTGTCGAGTTTGGCTGTGGTTTGTTCAAGGCCTCTGGAGCATAAGGACTTTCTGGTCGAGACTTATCTCTAGGCAGAAGAAGAGGAGGTAATAATATCGCCCACTGAAAGGAAGCACAAAACACTTCACACCAACCGATAACACCTGCGCTAGTTCAACTCAAAAGCAAGTTTGCAGTATAAAAGGAGAAACTGATAAATGGATCTCTGCCAGTTTGACAGCTATTCGAATGACTGATTAGAGTCACGCAAGCCAATGTTCTTAATCTTGTTTTCACCTCCCAACTGTCAATTGAACAGAGACGAGATTAATTTATGAACACCCTAAGTCTCATAAAAAACATCTTCTATGGTGAAGATGAATGTGTCCATTCAGAGAGACCCTGACAGGATTGTGACGTACCTCCTGGCCTTGGTCAAGAACACAGAGCTTGGAGCACTGCCTCTTGGCATCCATGAGAACATTGAACATTGTGCACACAGACAAGGAGACGCGGAAATCAGTCGACCTGCAAGACTTTTGCATTTTAGCGTCAAAGGCAGCTTTGGTCCTAGATATCAGAGATGGAGAAATTGGTTACATGAAGCCCCTGTCTTTAAAAGGAATGCCATTATTAGTCGTTAAATAGCTGACCTTTTGACACAGGCCTCCATCATATCACTAGCCATCAGTTTGAGCCTCTGCTCCAGATGTTTGGCGAACTCCGGCTCTGGCCAGTGCAGGTCCATCACGAACATCTGGAGAGCATCCAGCTTCCAGAATAGATCTTCTGATGTGGCCGAGCCGTTACTGAGGAAGACAGAAACAGTGACATGTTAGCTCAAGCTTGATCGTAAAGCCAGAAATGTCAACAACAACAAAAATTCACAGCAAATATACATTACAAGACTAAAAGGAAAGATGAAAAAATGAAACATGTAAAATCAAGGTATGAATGCCAAGAGTAAGTAAACAGACACTGTCATGCAAAACAGACCAGTCCTTGATGTACATGAACATATGATATTATCAGAATTTTGTGGCATTTCTAACTATTTGCATTCCCATGAACTAATGATTTAATGCATTATGTAACATGATGTTTGAGTTCTGGTGCGTGACTGCAACTAGTATAAAAAAATCACAACATTCATTATGTGAAATTTTGCCTTGGCAACTAAATGAATAAAAAAAAAAAGTTTAAGTTGAGATACTAAAATGACTCAAAAGTACATTTAAATATAAAATTATTAATGATTATTAAAAATGCTAAATATAAAAATATTACAATGTTAAAATATTAATTAAAAAAGCACATAACCAAAGTACTCAAACTAAATGTTAATTTAATGATAAAAATCTGTACTGAAACAATTAAAAATGCTAAATATAAATATATTAAAAAATATAATACATGATGGCAGTCAGAAAAAGAGTGTAAAGAATTAGAGCTGGCCTGGAACATTCATCTTAAGATGTTTTAACATTTGCTTGGTTTCAGGCATCTACGCATTTAGATTAATTTGAATCTCCAAAGTTATTGCAACTTATAAAATATCACATTTGACAAATTCATATATAAAGTATTATTATAAAAGTATTATATTTTATAATTATTACATTATAGCAATAGTATATTCTAATAATAATATACAATATATAATTATTAATACAGATTTGAAATGACATTTATATAAAATGTAATATTAGATATTGAAAAATGTAATTATTATTCTTTATATGATTATTATTAATTAATATATTAATACTGGTATTTTAACTTAACTATTAATATGAAATATTCTTTATGTATAACATTATTATAATTATATTACAAGAACATTAATATTGTATTCTAATATTATACTACTTATTAATATATTAATATTATTTTCATAATATATGCATATTAAATTGAATATATTCTATATTATAGTATTATATCTATAATACTGATATATTACAATTAATATATTATTGTAATATAGTATTAATGCAAAGATAAATCTGTTCATTTTCATTTGCTTCATGTTTTGGCCTTAATGGTGAAAAGATCTCGCATGTCCTTTTAGCTCTTCTCACATTACTGTAACCCCTACAAATATTTCTCACTTGCATACAAATATCTGATAAATGAATTCATGTAAATGCACTTAAAGGGTTCCGAGACAGCGGACTCAAATGTGAAAACACCTTTCACTGTCAATACTCCAAAACTGCAAAACGCGCAGTCAAACGACTAATCAAGCGAGAGTTACTATAAAAGTCAGGTTCTCTTGCACCCAGCTGACTGAAGTGCATCCGACAGAACTATCGGCCTGAGAGCGGCTGTTCCAAGAGCTGCAGGAAGTCGAGATCGACAGCATTTTCCACTGATGTTGTGTGCGACTCCGCTGCGTTTGAACGGGCTCAAGAGATCTCCACCAATCGAGACAGATGGAGCGACACTGCCATGTCAACCGCAGTCGACACAGCAAACTAAAAAAGGCCACTCGTTCCGCTCGCTGTTAAAAGACTGTTACCTTCACAAGTGGCGGTCCGGGAAAATAAATCGTTTGGCAAAGTCCGCTGTGCAATTAAAAGGGGCGAGCACAAGCTCCCACTCGATTAATTAGCGGCGGTACAGTCCGTAAGGGCCCCCTCGGGGGTCCGCGCCTCCGCCTCGAGGAAAGAGGCAGGGTGAACAAATGGACGAGTTTCTCGCCTGACGAACAGACTCCTCGGGGGAGAACACAAAGTTCTCGCCGAATCTAACAAGCAGCTAACCACAGACACCCACAGGACTACACCCACTACAGACACTGTTTCAGGCCTGAAAGCTGGTGTGCTTTTGCAGTTCACACTCTTTAGGCTAATTGAGACGGATGTAATTTAACTTTCCGACATTATTTAGGCTCGTGTAGCTGTCAGAAGTTCTCCTGTAGAGCGAAGCTGCTTACATCTTGGCCAGGATAAAAGTGTATGAGTTCACCCTGATAACCCCTGACGGTTGAGAGAAAATAGTGTTGGCGTTTATCGTCGCATGCTCACAGCGGGTTTAAACGCTCGCAGATTGAACCGATGATACCTGGGCGCTCGGCGCGTAGGAGAAAAATGGAGTTTATGGAGACTCGGCTGTCCATGTGAATCATCTTATAAACAGCTTTCTGTGATTTTGTGGTCTGTCACACTGCAAACACAACACCAAACACAAACGTGACGATATCACTGGTACTCACAAAATATCTGGCAAATTAATTCCTTGTCCGCTGTAAACCAAATGCGTAGCTGTGTTAAATTTAGCCAATGAATCACACAACAAGCCACACAGCACAGCAGCTCCCAAAAATGATAAGTTACCAAGCCACTTTGGCACAAAATGCACTAAAATGAACAGCACAACACCAATGTGTTCATCACAAACAGGATCTTTACCAGTGCTGGGTAGTAAGTGATTACATTACCGAAAATTAAGTACTTGTAATTCGATTGTATCACGATTAGAGATTAGATTAGTTAATTTTTTATGGATTTCATGATTACAATATATTCACACAGTGGCAGTACATTATTCATAATTTCTTGACTTTTTCTCTTTTTACATTTTTATTCATGTGATGCAGCGAATCCCAAACTTTTTGACCTAAAGTATTTTCTTGAAGCCCCCCTGAGATTTAAAGTTCATATTTGAATAATTTAACAACACATTTGTATGTTTTCTGATGTTGGTTAATGGTCATATTTCTCTTTTTTTTATAACAATAATCCATTTTAAATCAATAAACAAGTTGTCAAAAGTAATCCAAAAGTAGTCGGAATACATGACCTAAAATGAGTAATCTTGATTATATTACGGACTACATTTTTCAACATGTAATTTGTAATTAGTAACAGACTACACATTGTAAGTAATCCACCCAGCACTGATCTTTACACTGATGGCAACAGGGATGGGAATCGTAAGCAATTCAACGATTCAGATTCTAAAAAACCATTCTGGTCTCATGAACGATTCCATATGTACTTGTGAAGAAGCATAATAATAATATTATTTTTGATATTCAAGTACCATTTTAAGCACTTAATACAATAAAAAAGATTTCAGTAGAAATGAGGTAAAACAAGTAGTAATTCTGTCGTGTGGTTCTCTTAAAAACGGCAAGTGATTCAATAAGTCAAGATTCAAGTGAGTCGGTAGATTGATTCATACACATCGCTCACTTGGTTTAGACTTAACATGACTTTTTAGGCAATTCATTAAAACCAACACGTAAGAATCACAAACAAAACTTTTATTACTGTATTTTATTGTATATATTAGCACCTACGTTTAGCTTTTTACATCTGGCAACTGTATTTAGGCTTCAAAATTCAAAAGTTGTGAAGAGTATCATGATGATAATCATACATCTTTGTTGGTCACTTATTTTCTGCAGTAATACAAAAACCAACGGAAAAATCCTTTTTTTTTTTTGGCTAGGGTACCAGGGTGATGCTAACTTATGGGTTGGCCTACAAAAATACAATCACTGCAGCACTTTATTTGATCCACATTTGCAGACATTTTGACAAGAATAAGTATTTTTTTAAATAATGGAACCAGTTCAGAAAAAAAACAGCTTCTTGATTCCCATCCCAAGCCGACAGACAAAACAAATCATAACACTCACACAGTCATGCAATCTAGGATGCACTTTATTGGAAGTCTAATTCATTGTGCTAAAAAAATATTTTTTGTTATGAATTACATTTACTATGCAAATGCTTATTATAGCAATAACTGAGCTTCATCAAACCAACAACTGGAAACATCATTTGACGTATTTACCACATTACAAATGCATATGCCACAATCTCTTTCCTGTGATTTAAATATATTTGAATGGTTTTAAAGCCTGAAGACTCGCTTCGCACACGCTTTGCGGCTATAATAAGCATATGTCAAGAGCCGTAAGCAGTGATGGCGCCCAGCTGGCCCATACACACTTGCTGTCACACAGCGGCCCCATCCAGGAAGGGGCCGAGAAGCTGGGCATCTGAGGGAGGTTAAGAGGCAGGTTGGGAACCCTGGGCAGGGGAACGCTGGGCAGATTGTTGGTGATGGTCCTGCCGGAGATCAGATAGTAAAAGAGCAGAAAGCCCTGAGAGTAGGCCGACAATAAGAGTTCATCAGATACAGATAAAGAATAACCTGCGGATGACTGAATATTCGGAGGCATCAGAAGCTTACTGACAGGGAAGAAATGCACCTTAGTTGGAGAAGACGCCATGTTTAATGAGACATAACCGTCTGTTCAATGCCATATTGTTTTAATCATCATGTTCAGTTTGGATTCGCCAGATATAGAGACCCCAGATATAAAATTGTATAAAATAGAGTATTTTCTTTCAATGTGTAAAAACATAACTAGAATGGATAACAGTAACATTTTGTGAAAAGTTCATATCTACTTTGTGGTAAAGAAAAGTACAGTTAAAGCTTAAATAAAAATAATATATAACAATTATGTATAATAATAATAATAACAACAACAATTATTATTATTAATTATGATGATGATTTATTTATTATTATTTTAAGCGCTTACAAATGATTATAAAAGAGTTAACGTTTCAATAACAATAAATTATATATAATAATTAATAACAATAACAACTCTTATTATTATTATTAGTAGTTTAATTATTTAGATAAATTATTATAAATAAAATATAATACAATTTTTGATTAGGACAGATAAATTTAAAGACAACTAATTATAATAATAAATAAAATATATTTTAAATTGTAATTACTTATAATTTACTACTACTACTACTACTAATAATAAATATGTATTTCATTATTTTGATAATCAATTATTATTATTATTATTAAATAAAATATAAATATTAATAAAAGTTGTAATAATTATAATAGTAGTATTTAATAATTAAATGTACAAACTATAATAATAATAATAATAGCTTCAGTTGATTTATTTACTGAATATTATAAACAATATTATATATTGTTTATATATTATTATTATTAATAATAATGATAATAATAAATAGGTAATTGCTATTATTATAATGATTATTAAGAAGTGTTTTGATTAGGTCAGAGGAATTTAAAGGGAAATTATTATTAAAACACAGGGGTCATTGGGACTCCAAACATAAAAACAGTAAAGTCATTCTCATCAGAACACGATGAGACGGTTTTATGTAAGATCTAATTTTCACAGCCAATGTTCTCTTTAGTTTTGCATCCACAGGAAATTGTTTGGTCAACCGTATGATCACGACAGCACGACATACAGACTTCACATCTGCACCTCACAGCCTTGTGTTCAGTCCCATTAAATTAAATATGGTGAGAACAAACAAGAAACTGTGAAGTAAATCAGAAAAGTACAAAGCATTAATGGAAAATGATGAGGACAATCTTTGAGGCTCTATTCTTTAACCTCTCTCCAATCATCTCTGAAACATGAACAAGTTGATGGGTTTGCTAGAAACAGCCTGACACGGTTAAACAAACACGGTACTGTATTCGCTTAAATGCAAAGAGAATCAATAAGAAAACATACATACATAAAATCACATTGGACTCTAATGGTTTGGCTCTTACTTCACAGACTGCCACGTCTCCTGCTCAAAGCCGCGATGAATGGACTGAGCTATCGACGACTCCATCAGGTCAATGTAGCGCACCACCAGAGGGATGTACAGGTCCTGGAGGTGCTTATGGAACGTTCCATTGCACAGGTGAGCTAGAGAACATGAAGGATGAATGAAGGCTTTACAACAATATTGACGGATGTGCAACTTACTGTATATTATCAGGCAAAATATTGTGAGCAATGCTATTCTGCAGTGCAAATATATCTAGAATGACCGTTGCAGAAATCATAGACAATAATTAATAATAACTGTAATCATTTTAAATGAATAATAAAGGAGACATATTATGCCCCTTTTTACAATATGTAATAGTCTCTGGTGTCCCCAGAATATGTCTGTGAAGTTTCAGCTCAAAATAATCCACAGATCATTTATTATATAATTTTGAAAATGCCTATTTTGAGTGGAAGCAGAAACACACATTCAATCTTTAAATGAATGTAGGAACAACAAAGACAGTATATTTTTTAATATTTGTTTAGTGGCATCTTTTTTTATGACTTTTTCACCTTTTAAGGCGAGTAACACTGATACCAATACTACTGATGTCTCTAGGTTGTTCTTTTCCCCCCTAATATTTAACCATTGACTATAGCCTTTCAATTACAGTATAACTGAGAGCTATCAATCTTAACATTTACTAAACTTTAAAAAATAACTTCTGATTTAAGTAAACTTAAAACAATCTTCACATAAACCCATTATAATAAATGTCAATGTTTGTGTCCTTGTGTCCCAACTGTGTCCTTCAGCAAGTAGGAAATATACAGAAACTGAATAAAGTTATCAAACAGTAAATCCTCAATCAAATATAGCTGAATCCTTAAAGCTACTCTGGTAACACCAACACCTTCCATTGGTATCGACATATAATATAAATGAACATTTAGACCATTAAAAATGCAGCCGAAAGCTACCAAACATGGCATACCTGTGATCTCTGTTAACAATAGTGTGCAATTCTAAAATGTTCATTTAAAAAGAGTTCGTAATAACTTCATGTTGTGAAGTACTCAAAACTGTTTCACGGAAAATTTCTGGTTGATTACGAGAGATACCGGTGCTTAGGGTATGTCGGACACTCTGGGATTTGCAAAAACGTCCAGAATTGAGGTGACATGGAGATCATTTTCCCTCCAGTGTCGCTAACCGATCACACTGTATATCTAATTAGCATGTTGACAATAACAGAGCACAGCATGTTAACTTGCTCGCCTAACAAGTATTGTTTTCCAAAGCGATACTGGTGCTAAGTAGTGCGCTTAACGGTGAGAACATGCGAGCAGAACTTTGGACAAACGGGAGCGGAAGGGGAGGAGAAAGAATGAGAAAGAAAGGTTAACACTACACACAGTCAGTTCGGAGGAAGTTGTTGAGCAGCTGAAAGAGGGGGAAACTGTCCCAGGAGTCCTGCGGCTGGACAGCCAATGCTGCATCCATGTCCACCGTGTACAGAGACAGGAAGGTCTCGGCATGCTCCCCCATCGCCTCTGGCCACCAGGAGAAGGCCTGCAAAATACAGACATACACTCTTAAAAATTGGCATCAATGGTTCCACAAATAACCTTTACCATCCATGGAACTTTTTCATTCCACAAACGGTTCTTTATAGTGGAAAAAGGTTCTTTAGACTATTAAAATGTTCTACACACTAAGAAAAAATGGAAGAATGGTTTACTGAAAGGTTCTTTGTGGAACCAAAACCGGTTCCACCTTTTGGAACCTTTTTTAAAATGTTTTTAAGTGTATTAGGGTGACTCTTCAGTTAGGGACACTTTTGATTTGTTTTGTCTATATTAAACATTTATCAGGTTATTTTATTATCATTGATATGCTATTATAGTTTTATTATTATAGTTAGTATTTTTAATTGATTTTATTTTCATATTTTCTGTTGCCAGAAATTGTCACAGGATCTTTCAGAAATCAATCTAACATGCTGATTTGGTGCTCAAGAATCATTTATTATTATTATTATCAATGTTTAAAACTATTGTGCTGTTTAATATTTCTGTGGAAATGGTGACACGGAAAGTTTAGATGAAGTTTCAGTAATTTTGTTTGTAAGTTTTGTCATTTGTGTTTTTGTCATTTTCATTGGATGTTTTTACATTTTTCTTTGATTTATTAATATTTATGAATCTCTTTAAAAACTGAGATGTTTTTATAAATGCATTCTTAAAATCATCCTAATGGACATAAAGTTTCCCCTTCGAAGAACAGAATCACCCATTAACATGTAAACTACTAGAAATATGCTACATATTCTATACATGTGCAAACACACAATCACAAACAATAATGCCAAACGGCAACTTATTGTAGCGTCTGGACCAATCAAAAACAAAATTTTTCATTTGATTTAACAAATCAGTTATTCATTAGATTAACAAATCGTCACAGACCCCTCACCCAATAAACTGGGCACCAGGATGTCTGCGAACAGACACCAGACCCCCCCTGGTCCCCATGGCAACTAATGCTGATATCACTGGTTTTATGGCCCCAAAGGAATGTGAGTAGCGAAAATCACCATCTTTTCCATAGGAAGAGACACAATGCACAGTAGAAATTGACTTTTCTACTAATTAATTCATAGGAAAACCTTTCTTTGAATGAACACACATATCCTTCAGGTCATTGTGTATGTTGTCTTTGAGATTTTATACTGTTTTATGCAGGCTTATGATGGAACCACTCGTTCCTGTCATCTTACCTATATGTAATCCTACCATGTTTATCAAGCCTCTCTTTCAGGCAGACGAGACGTGCAAGTATTCAAACTTAGTCTTATTAATTGATATATTAGGTATCATTTGCACCTTTTTACAAAGGTGTGTTTGAACTAAGAATCTGATGTCTCCTTCAGGCTGTAGATCTGCTGAATATGCAAATGGTTCCATAACTTCATTCCTTATTTCTCTCCTCTTTACTGCTTTAACGCGTTAACCCTTTCCTATACCAACTATATGCGTGTGTGTGTGTATGTGTATGTTAGACCAGTTTAAGTGTTTATGTAGTATGTTGGACTAGTTTAAGTGTTTATGTAGTTAATAAAGTCTTACTTGTATCACACTTGACGTTGTTCATTGTTTGCTCATAACTGGAGTCACTTAATCATGCAGATTTATGCTACAGGCTCTGTGTAGAATTGTACAAAAAGAAAGTTATTTTCCTTAACCAGGAAATTAACGTTCTTAGAATTGACAGACAGTTGACCCTGAGAGGTCAAGTAAATATCTACAGCGGATCTAAATATTTATAATTAATTATAACTAGTTATGATTAATTATTAATATTTCCCCATGAGCTGATTCGCTACAGTATAACAACAGAGAGACAATACTGAGAGCTAAACATGGTACACAACACTCTGATACTGACAACAAAGCACGATAAAGCATGGAAATGATGAAACTAAAGCACGTAGAAGTCAAGCAATACAATGACGCGACCTTGAAAAGAAGCACACAAAGATGGAGATAAATAGAGAGAAAGGAAGATTGCTTCTGTGCCTGCATGCTTGCTTGGTTTTGTAAAGTGTTACTTCTAAACACCATGTATGTACACAGTTGTACAAACCTCTAACTTTAAGTATTATACTTTGAACTCATCAAGCATTATTTGTGCTACATGAAAAAACTAAACAAATCATACAGTTTCTGGAGGAAAGTTGTGCTAGTACTAAATGTAGTATTTTTCTAAAATGTGTTTATGATTTACTTTGAATCAATTTTTCACTATGAAATTGGTATTACATTTAATAAATTACAAAAAAATGGCAAGTAACACATTAAGTTAAACGGCAAATGTTTTAAATTTTTGACTGCGCAGAATCCAACTGAAATGACTGGATTTCGCCTGCAAGATTTTGCAGAGCAACTTTAAATTGGAATGCAATTTTCCACTAAGGAAGGGATTTTCCATACTTAGGGACCAGAATATAGTTAAAATAAAATAAAATAATTGGAGTATGTCTTAGAAGAAAATACTACTTTAGTCTTTCTACTTCAAAATGTTGTTAAATTCATTTTATGTGTTAATTACTAGCAAAAAACATTTCCCCCCCCAGTGTAGGTTATACTACGGGAAACAGATGATTAAGGCCATCTGAAAAAATGGAAATGACATTTGACTATCAGTTTCAACCTCTTTTACATAAATAAACATCCAACGTATTTAAATGTGGAAGGTAACAATCACATGCACATAAAATCAAGTCTGTTGATTTTTAAACTGTTCCACATCTGGAAAAGGGTACCGTATTAGAAAGGTTAAAGGTTAAGTTCAAAAAAGGACAATTAGCCATCCATGTTTCTTTTAGGGTGGACTGCAGCAGACAAGAGCCCATAAATCCTTCTGAATTCTCCTGAGAAAAGGGAAAAATTCAGTGGCGTTCTCCTACATTTTGTCAAGCTCTTTATTGTCTGCCAGTATGTGCATTGAAGGCCCTTCTGAAAAGATCCAAGTCTATCAATGCATTTCTCTCGTTGCATTCTTCCACAGGCTGATTCCTGGGGACGGCTGCAGCTACCTTAATTGAGAGCGTCAAAAAAAGCCTTTCCATGTTGTCTTGTATTCTTTACGCTGGCGCCAAGAACTTTCCGTCCAAAAGCGGTCAGTGTCGAGCAATGGGGATAAAAGTGCAATCAGTCACAGCAAAGAATAATACGGTGGAGAGGAGAATGCCGACTTATTGAAGGGTGCTATTGTGTATGGATATTCGTGTGTGTGTGTATGTGTGAACGTCACTCTTGTCTGACTTGATGTTTTACAGTTGCTGGCCTTGAGGGAGCTTGTCTTCAGGGCTTACAGAGACAGGTTTTGTATGGAGTAGAGCTGACAAACAGCAAAACGAGTCGTTCACTGCTGTATCTGTTTTAATCTAAAACATACTAAAAACTCCTTCCCCATTAAAGCTACAAAATATATTCTTAATAACTAGACTAGACTCTTTTTTTGTTGCTTCGATGAATGTGTCTGGATTGTTGGCTAGTTGTGAGTTAAACTGTCAAACGACTAGTCAAACTGGAAAATATGTTTCGCACATTGCACATCACAGCGTTTTATTTAACTAATTATGTTACTGGCATTGTTATCTTATGTCCTTTCATGAAGATACAATAAAAAAAAGAGTGAGTCTCATTCGCTAATAATTGTGTACAAAGGTTCAAATTTATATTTGCAGAAAGGTTCTCACACAAACTACATATATACATTTGTTCTTACTCATGTTATAATATCCACAGTTAATAATTAGCATAATACACAACCAAACCATCTTCATTTAAAGGATTTCCTAACAATCTCAGCCTGGATTGCATGCGATTTTTTGCATTTGTATGCAATTGAGTATTATTTATATTAAATATAAATACTGCATCACATTAATATAAATATTTTGGAAATATAAAATAACTAAATATCTATACTAAATATAAATAATGCGTTAATGCATAACCTATTAATATAAACATTACACGTTTTATGTATTCTATATTAATATAAAATAACTGAATTGCTGAAGAAGAAAAAAAGAAAGGTTTGGGGTTTAAAAAGATACAATACAGTAAAAATGTTAAATATTGCAATTTAGAATAATGTTTTATATTATATATATTATAGTAAAATGTAATTTATTCCTGTCATGCAAAGCTAAATATTCAGCAATTTGCTTGTAAAATCATAAATGATAAAATAAACGGGGCTATCCAAAAGAGAAGCCGCCGTGTATTTCTTGCTAATGACAGCACAGCACAACACAACATAAGAGTGAAATATAAGATTCTTACCTCTCTTCCCTAATGCATTTACAAACACAGGAGCGGAAGAGAGAAAGAGAGAGAAATATCAGATAGAAAAACATTTTGCCGTCTTCATGCGTATTCAACTTATGCATTCGAACACTGAAAACGCAGTACACACTGTATGAGACAATGTTTTACAAATTGCAAATGAACATTATTTCACTAATGTAGACGTGAGCGCACCACGCACACACACCTTGATGTTTCCTTAGTGACAGCATGTGGGACATTTGTCTTGTTAGGCACAAGCGTTTTGGCATCATTGTCTCTGTCGTCTGTGACAGCTGTTGGAAGCTTGAGGACTAAAAATAGCCCGCGAGCAGATGTCTGCATTCACATTTTTATTTAGCAAACTATCACATCCCTGTCAGCGAAGCCTGAACACCTAGGATTGATCGCTTTCCTTCGATCTTGTATTTTTTGAATGTTGATGTGGGAGCATTAGCGGGCGCTGGCCCTGTGCAGATGGGCCGTGGGCGTTGTTTTCCTGTGCCACTACTATGAGCTGGCATTGGACGGCTAAGCTGTCACTCGCTAACAGCTGTTATGGCAACGTGGCAAAGTAAATGGACAGCGAGACGGTAAATGATCACGAGTCTGCTCTGAAATGATCATGCAATACCTTCTGGAGCAACATGCAACGCCAAAAGGCCTGATGATAAACAAAGATTGATTCTCTGTCTACGTGACTGAAGGCTTCATTGAACATATGTTGTAAAGAGACGTCACAAGATCAATGCTGCTGGTGCGGAATATTGCGTTGAATATTGAATATGAGAAAAAGCATTGATACAAAGACTAAATGAAGGCTTTCTCAGCAGGAACTAGTTTGGACTGAGACAACACACCACCGGTTACCAGTCTTTATGAAGAGATGGGTTTTCTGTGGGTTTTACCTCAGAGTGATGCTCGTCGTTCTGTTGTAACACTTCCATACACAGCTCTCCTAGTCTGATCATATCCTCCAGCCTTTTCTCTGGAGACGCCTGACCGCTGTCTGCTGAAATACAGGCATCACAACATTCACACTAGTTGTCAACCACTCCAAACATGTTTATAGGTTGAGATCATAAAGCAATGTATCAAAAGGGCTCAACAATAAGGACTTTGTCAGCTACACTCATTTTGACAATAAACGATGACAATTTTAAGTTTACGTTTAAAACTTCTCTGGATTTAACTTGCTGTCAGTTAAGAAAACTGCACATTTCAAGTTGACTAAACTTCACATTTTGAGACAGCACGTACTCTTAATTAAGTTTATTTGTGATATTCTTGGCAGTATGTTTTGCTATGTAAATGTTTATGGATTAACTGCTGCCACTGAGTTTCCTGTATTATATTAACTGTATAATTGACAGCTATTATTGCACATTTTGTTTGAAAAGAAACCTTTACATTCGATGGAAAATGAAACATTTAATAATATTTAAAATATATATTATAATGTGTGTAATATATACACATATATATTTTATTGTAATATATTGTAATATTTTATTGTAATACAATTGTAATATTGTATTGTAATATATTTTAAAATGTAATTTATTCCTGTGATGTGGAATAAATGTCAAAAACATTTTTTATAATATTTAAAATATTTATTATAACATAAAATTTTAAATAAAAAATGTAATGATTCAAAATGAGTTAAACTTGAGTTAAACTTGTGAAAAAAAGTATTATATTCTTTGATGAATATAAAGTTCAAAAGAACAGCATTTTTTTGAAACACAAATCTTTTGTAACATTATAAATTTTTTGCTGTCACTTTTAATATATTTATTGCATCCTTGCTGAATAAAAGTACTAATTTCTTTTGAACATTAGTGTATGTTTTTGTGCTGGAGCTACTGAAAACACCGGCAGGTGTTCTGGATTTTCATATCTGACAGGGCCAGCAAAAAAAAACAAAAAACCTTATTGTTGAGCCCTGAAAAGTATTCAGTGAGAAACCTTCAATCTGGGCGTATTCAGTCAGCTGGGAGTAATTGATGAGCGCAGCTTTTTCCAGGCACTTCTGAACTATCTTACGCATCTCCTCAGGTGGGACCGGCGTGGTGATGTCTTTCATCAGAACCTACGAAATTACACTTTAAGTTTTTTATCACAAGCTACTACACACAAGACATTGATATAAGATGCAAAGCATGCACTGTTAATTGGCCGACACTCACCCTTTCCAGAAGAGAGAGTGTGGCTTTAAGAGCCCCCTCCGGTCGCCCGAAGGGGAAACAGTACCTACAGGCAAGAAGACAAAGGTAAAACTCGAGTGGTAATTAACTGACGGCTTAAAAATAAAGAATACGGAGCGCAAACTGAAGGAGTCAGTCACAGACTGCTGTTTCTCAGCTATCATGGGACAATAATTACATCTCTTAAATAGAGATGTTTTCCAAATCCTGTCGAGGAGGGACAGGTGTCAGCGTGCGCACGGACAATGCCAGGCGAGATGAATGAAGGCCAAAGGGAAGTGCTTCTCATGGAGGCCTCACACCACAGGTGTGAAATTGCCCCCTGAACGGCCCTCAGCGTGTTTTTTTTCCGTGCGTATGGGGCAAGAGGCACACTTATCAAGTGACTCAACAAGCTCTAATCAGCTTGGGTTGGGCACCGCGCTTAATCCCCGGCACGCCCGCACCGGCCTTGGCTATTTGCATAATCCAAGATGTTGTTCGTAGCTTTTGTTTGAGTGGTTTTAGCTGGTTATTATTCAGTGTCGCTGCAACCGCAAGACTAAAACCCTCTTTACTAGTGTTTCCAGTGCGCTACAGGAGGGCCAGCGGGAGGTCGCTTCAAAATGAGGACCCATGAGGAGGGAGTGTGGTAAATGAGTAAACGGTCCACTGAGATGTTATACAGGGGTTATCAACTGATTTGGCTACAGGAACCAGTTATTACATTGTTATTACAAGATTGAGGTTTAAAACAAAGCTTAAAGGAATGGTTCACCCACAAATGGATATTTGCTAAAAATGCACTCACACTCAGGCCATCCAGGATGTAGATGAGTTTGTTTGTTCATCGTAACTGATTTGGAGGAATTTAGCTTTACATCACTTGCTCACCAATGGGTCCTCTGCAGTGAATGGGTGCCGTCAGAATGAGAGTCCAAACAGCTGATAAAAACATCACAATAATCCACACCACTCCCAGTCAATCAGTTAATATCTTGTGAAGTGAAAAGCGGCTTGTTTGTAAGAAACAAATTTATTGTTATAATTTTTTAACTTTAAACTAGCGATTCTGGCCAAGATAATAGTCCATAATCTATAATAATGCTTCCTCCAGTGAAAAAAGTCATCTACTTTTGTCCTCTCACATCAAAATCCACCAACATTTTTGTTTAGAAATGTTTTGGCTTGTAAACGGTGCTTCATCTGTGCATATTTCTCTCCGGATTCAGACAAAACAGCTTTTTCACTGGAGAAAGCGATATTATTGAAGTAAAAATGTCTTCGGTTCTTTATTTATTATAAACATGCAGCTTTTCACTTCACAAGACATGAACTGATGGACTGGAGTGGTGTGGATTATTGTGATGTTTTATCAGCTGTTTGGACTCTCATTCTGACGGCACCCATTCACTGCAGAGGATCCATTGGTGAGCAAGTGATGTAGTGCTACATTTCTCCACATCAGTTCACATGAAGAAACAAACTCATCTGTATCTTGGATGGTCCAAGGGTAAATATGTTTTCAGCAAAGTTTCATTTTTGGGTGAGCTATTCCTTTAATATTCAATAATATTATCAAATTGACTGCAAGAACACTATTGGAAGAGAACTTGAACTTGAACTGAACGGAGCTGGATAATGACAACTCTGTCAAGAAGCTGCTTTGAAATCATCTATATTGTATAAAACTCTATAATGTGCCTTGACTTGATTATATAGTTAGTTATTATTTATATTTTTGCATTGATTTTTCCATGGCTATTTCTCTATTTCAGGGCAGAAGTGGACGTGGGAGCTTGTTCTACCTGAAATGTGTGATCTGCTTCTCCAGTAAAGTCAGCAGTCTGCTCCTGATCTCCTCAAACTCCTCCTTCTCCTGTTCTGTCACTGTGCCCATGCCGTCCGGTCTGCCAAAACAACAAGCAAACATTCAATGTTCTTCTTAATTCTTTACAACACCTGTTCATTAATTCCAGCTGCCCTTGAATCCTGTGCTTCAACCTCATAATCAAAAGATTTCTCAAAGATAATTGTCAAGTTTCACAAATATTTCAGCACAATTGAACAATGCTTCGACTCACATTGAAGGGGTTCACAATCCAAAACCCTTAAATAAAAGAATATCCAAATAAATGTATCCTTTGTGAATTGCATTAAGGTAATGCAAGATGGGAAGCAATTGGAATTATCTTAAAATTAAAATTCAACAAATTATTCAAATAAAGCACAATTTTAAATGATTTGTATTCATATGTAAATTATTTTATATGATTAATATGATTTTATATGATACAGTGTGTGTATGTACTGTATACTGTGTATGTGTCTGTGTATATATATATATATCCATAGTAAAAAATAATATGAAATTTAAAAAAAAAACGTTTTATTTGAATAATGTCTCTTTAATATTATTTTATTTTAAATAAAACTATTGTTTCAGATATAAGATTATCAAGCTGTTTATTCAATATAAAATAAAGATTATTCAACCAAATAAAGATTATAAAATAAAATTATTCAACAACTAATTAAATAGAATAGAATAGAATTTTAAAAATATCAAATAATCTTGAAAAATTGAATAAATTGACAATTTTGAATGAACTTATTTCTAATCTTCTAAATGTTATAATAATTTTATTTTGAATGCAATTATTTGAATAATTTACAGTCTCAAATATATATTTCAATTTAATATTTTATGTAATTTTTAACGTTTAACATCAGAAGATATAAAAAATTGTATATATATATATATATATTCATAATAAATAAAAATAAAACTTTTGAATAATCTCTGAAAAAATCTCTGAATTTTTTTTAATAAAAATAAATAATATAGTACCAGTCAAAAGTAAATTTAAGTAAGAAATAAAAAATGATGATAAAAAAATGTTTCTTGAACAGCAAATCAGTATATTCGAATGATTTCTGAAGCATCATGTGACTGGAGTAATGATGCAAAGAATTCAGCTTTGAAATCACCGGAATAAATTACATTTTACAATATATTCAAATAGAAAACAGTTATTTTAAATAGTCTCTTCAAAATTTTGTTTATTCATTCATATTTGTTTGAATAATGTTAAAGATATAAGATCAAGATGTTTATTCAAAATAATATAAAGATAAATTATTCAACAACTAATTAAATAAAATAGAATCAAATAATATTTAATAAGATTAATCAAATCAAATAATGTTGAAAAAAATGAATTGACTTTTTAATTCTAATCTTCTAAATATCTATATTTTGAATGCAATTATTTAAATAATTTGCTATCTATCTATCTATCTATCTATCCATCCATCCATCCATCCATCTATCTATCTGTGTGTGTCTGTCTATTTATCCATCCATCCATCCATCCTTCTATCTATCCATCCATCCATCCATCCATCCTTCTATCCATCCATCCATCCATCCTTCTATCTATCCATCCATCCATCCATCCATCCATCCATCCTTCTATCTATCCATCCATCCATCCTTCCATCCATCCATCCATCCATCTATCCATCTATCTATCCATCCATCCATCCCATCCATCTATCTATCTACCAACCAAATGGTCACAGATTTAAACTACATAGCTTCTCTCAATACCACAGTACCTCAACTACAGTACAACAATCAAATGTAGCCAGCATATGTTCAAGCACTAAGCTTTGCACAATTGCACTTTAAGAGCAAAAGTAATCATTCTAAAGTTCGTTTTTAACCGTCGACAATGGGCAGTTTAGTTAGAAGCCATTGTGCCTCGCTATCCAAACCTTGCACACTTTCTGAATGGCACAGCTTAGAGCTGTAGAGAGAGCTTTCCGTACACGCAGAGGTAAAAGCAACTTGTAAACCTGTCTGTTCTTCAAATCCCTCTCTCCATTAAATGAAATCCGCCTTTTCTTTTTGACAAGAGTCAGCTAATCCTGAGAGAACACAAAGAGAGGGTGTGAAGAGTGGCAGAAGACGTGTATGTGTGCGAGCGGAGGGAGAGAGAGATCAGCGCCTGCAAATGAAAAGAAAAAATCTCCTTTTTGCATTATGGTAAAGGCGAAGGAGTGCATAAACTCCACATCGACCCTTTAATCTCGGTGTCTTTGTCTGCCGTTCTGTGTAGGCTCATTAGTTCTGAAGGAAGGCCTCTTAGTTTAACTGCTTCTAACAAGAGGCCTGGGAATAGAACTGTTAGCATGAGGGAGAATCGCTCTATAGCGTCGAGTCCATCCTCGTTTGTGGCTCCCAGTACATCAGCAAACCAACGACTAGCAAAGCCTTACGACTTTAGTCAGTAATTAAGTCTCTCACAATTCACACATCCTCCCATTGGCTTTACTAATGGTAAACGAATCCTTGAAACACATCCAATTCTACCTTACGTAACACTGCATTATTAGTGGTGTCTGCTAAGGAAGGCATCAATTTGCAGTAAAGTAATTTACAGTAAGGATGGCCTGCTGGCAAGGGGAGAGAGAGTTTTGGGCCAGATGATTGAACATCACTGTATGTTACATTTGTTGATCATATGCATGTGGTTTCTTGCCTTTAGAAAATGAAAACATTTAATTTTCGGTGACATTTGGTTGTAAATTCTGCTTGTCCAACAGTTGGCTAACATAGATGAAAAAAAATACCTATATACCTATATAAGTTTCAGCTATTCTAAAAGAAAAAAAAAATAGTACAGAAAACTATTTGATGAAAAAACAAATGTTAATTCATAAATAAAATTAACATAGCATATATATATATACACTGAACAAAATTATAAACGCAACACTTTTGTTTTTGCCCCCATTTGTCATGAGCTGAACTCAAAGATCTAAGACTTTTTCTATGTACACAAAAGGCCTATTTCTCTCAAATATTGTTCACAAATCTGTCTAAATCTGTGTTTGTGAGCACTTCTCCTTTGCCGAGATAATCCATCCACCTCACAGGTGTGGCATATCAAGATGCTGATTAGACAGCATGATTATTGCACAGGTGTGCCTTAGGCTGGCCACAATAAAAGGCCACTCTAAAATTTGCAGTTTTACTGTATTGGGGGGTCCGGGGGGGTCCGAAAACCAGTCAGTATCTGGTGTGACCACCATTTGCCTCATGCAGAGCAACGCATCTCCTTCGCATAAAGTTGATCAGGTTGTTGATTGTGGCCTGTGGAATGTTGGTCCACTCCTCTTCAATGGCTGTGCGAAGTTGCTGGATATTGGCAGGGACTGGAACACGCTGTCGTATACGCCGATCCAAAGCATCCCAAACATACTCAATGGGTGACATGTCCGGTGAGTATGCTGGCCATGCAAGAACAGGGGTGTTTTCAGCTTCCAGGAATTATCATGCTGCAACATGAGGTGATGGTCGTGGATGAATGGCACAACAATGGGCCTCAGGATCTCATCACGGTATCTCTGTGCATTCAAAATGCCATCAATAAAATGCATCTGTGTTCGTTGTAACATACGCCTGCCCATACCATAACCCCACCGCCACCATGGGCCACTTGAGTGGGCAAAAATGACTTCGGCCAGTAAGCAACTACCTAGCTTTTGGACAGGCAAATACCACATTTCCTTTAGAAAACGTAAAAATGTAGTTGTGCTTGTTATTCACATTGCTAATAATAAGTTGCTTTGGTATGAATGTGTCTGTAAGTACAATCAGTAAGTACACAATCCCAACCAGCTCCAAGATACTTCAATTCAAAGAGCAGCAACTCAAATGTGCAGAAAAATCTTGCAAACTGTGGCTTCCTCCACCTCACGCAGTGCTGGCCCATTGGGAACGGGTGCAGTGTGGCGGCCTGTTGGGGGTCCGACTTATTGTTTGCGCCTGATGAAGCGAGCATGTTTAAGACGAGTGAAACATTTACCCATCCGGGCCAGTCAACGAGGGTTAAACGCTGACGGGAGTCTCGGGAAAGTCTGGCCGTGCCGAACGGTCCAGGAAGATGGGTGTGAGGTTCAGAGCCATGCGTTTGCAAGGGAAGCAACGCGCTCCATCCTCTATGACAGATGGGGTTGGTGTGTATCAGACAGAAGTGACAATCCAAAGGGTGCCGCTCCGGATGTGTGTCATGTTTACAGTGAGTAAGTGAGTGTGCAGACTGGGAAATACTCTTGTCATACGGGGCGGCCAAGCATGATGGACAGGCGAGAGACTGACAGGTGAGAAAGAGGTTAGATTGTGATTACTGTCACTTGCTGTCAGTCCGTCCTGGCCAGTTCATCTCACACATGAAGCCGCACCTGTCCGTTTCCTCTCGCGCACTTGCTCTTTAGTCTCAAGCCTCGTCGAGCTCAGGGTGCATCTGTCAGTCAAACGCAGGCGACACGGACTGAAATGTGCCACGAGGATGTCTGCACTGACAAACATGTCTGAAAGAAGTCTCCGTTCACACACTTCACCGTTTATAAACCGTTCCATTGTCGCCTAAAACATAACTCTGAATGCTAGAAAGACATTTACAGAAACAATTTTTATATTATTATATTGTATTATTTTATTTGAGTATTATATTCATTATATATTTTTAATGTATATATATTTTCATAAATATTTATAATTTAGTAAAAAATACATTATATTTAAGAAATATATAATTTGTTGTATTTTTTAAAATGCATTTTTATATGCAATGATAAATATTTATACTAATATACATATTTTATACATATATACATGTATATGCATGTATGTGTATATATATATATATATATATATATGTGTGTGTGTGTGTGTGTGTGTGTGTATGTGCATGTATATGTATGTATAAAATATGTATATTTGTATAAATATTTATAATTTAGTAAAAATTATATATCTCATATATATATATTTGTATTTTGAAATGCATTTTTTTTTATATGAAATTATAAATATTTATACAAATATACATATTTTATA